AGCGTATTTGTAAGAGTTATTTAAATTGATTACACTAATCTCCCAAAATTTTAAACGCATTTTTCTCTCAATTTAGTTTTCAGAGTCTGTCAGGAAAATTTCTCCAAAACGGCTGGCCTCAAAATATATTTACCTACTCGTATAACAATACTACTTTTTTTTGGTTTTAGGACTTGAGATAAATTGAAAACACAAAAATCGTACTCACCGCCAGACACCATTTTCGGCGATCCTCCTGGAGATCGGCTACAGGATCCGGGGAATCCAAATTAATTAAGTACATTAAATTCTGTAAATGTACATTTTTATACTCTTGTAACATGTTGCTACAGAGTATAATAGTTTTGTTCCCCTAACGGTTGTTTGTATCACCTAAAACTATTCGAGTTAGATGTAGAGTTATGTATATCTAAATTATCAGGATGAAGAGACGAGTTGAAATCCGGGTGACTGTCTGTCCGTCCGTGCAAGCAATAAATTGAGTAAAAATTTAGATATTTTGATGAAATTGCTATATATGTTTCTTGGCACTCAAGGGTTGTTAATATTGCAGATGAGCGTAATCGTACCAATGCCACGCTCACAAAATGCCATTGAACGAGACTTACAAAGTGCTATAAAATTACAATTTGATACAGGGGATCTTAGTAGTTAGAATTATCTGCAGGCTGAAAATTTTTCAAAAGTGGGTTTGACTCCGCACTCTAATAGGTTTAATGTATATGTATATCTTACATATCTTCTTGGCCGTGTTAAAATGACAGTGTTAAAATGGATGAACTCGGATTATACACCCACTCGGACACCCACTCTCTTTATAACGGTTACATTAAAGACTACTTAAAAAGTGATAGCTTAGTAAATAAAAACGTTAGAAGCATACAATCTCACAAATAAGATTGTAGAGAAAGGCTTCATATGAGTCGGTATCAAAAATGTGGTCCTGGAATACAACTATACCTACTTTCCATATAATAAAATTTTTAATTTAATCTATTTCCTTCATTGTTAATTATAGAAAGCAAATACCAATGAAGTTATCGGAAGAAAACTTTTTAAAAATAATAACTTCTCAAAATGGGCGAAATCGGACTATATCTTATCAAGCCCCCAGATACCGAAAATGTGTATCAGAGTGTCTTTGGCTGACTTTTTTTCTGAAAATAGTGGTGAAACTCTAAGATAAGCAATAAAATGTGTCCTGGTGCTAAAATGGTTGAAATCGGGTCATTGCTTCCCATAGCCTCTATATACTTAACAGAATGTTGACTTTACACCGCACATATCGGACAGTGTATGAGTTATTTTTCTAAAATGAAAACATGTGTCAGAATATACTTGAGTTATGTTAACAGTTAATGTAATCGTTCAGATCTTCCCCTAGCCCTAACATATGCGATTTTGTTATTTATATCCCTTTTGACTTTCTGCCTGACTTTTAGCTGTCTTCATGTCGGTCAAATAATGTGGTTTAGCGCTGAATATAAATGAAATTGGTCTAGACCTTTGTCCAAACCTCATATTCCTAATACCATGATTTCCGATGCTCTGGCCTTCTGATGTTTTCCTCAAATACCCCAAATTTTATATTAACCCCTTTGGTTGAGTTCATATCACATAAATTTATATTTCGGACAAGCAAAATGTAGTAATGACCAAGTGAATCTACGACTTATAATGTATGTAATTTAATAAGATACCAAATTTATTTTCGTAATCCATTTGGTTTCTTCGAATAATAAATGTTGAAATTTGCCTTACTGTTATTCCTTATGTTTTGTATTTAAATACAAGTTTAATTGTTTTCAATAAGTGCTTCTAAAATTTGGATTTTCATTTCGGTAGCTATCGACGCTAACGTCAGCTGTCGCTCCTTTACACCTGGCCAAATCGGTTTTGTCTTTTGTAAGGAGCGTACAAAGCAACTGCCCTTAATTTTTACTCATAAAAACAATAAAATACAAGTGTAACCATTTTAAATTGCATTGTTTCAACGAAATTTGTTCGGCATAAATATGATTTATAATAATTATACATACATAACACATTAACATACATATATTCACCGCAAGTGGCTGCAACTTCAATAAACATAATGAATGTGTATAGAATGAAAATGTGTTTATAATTTATTTGTTTGCTAGCAAAGCATGCTTTTATTTTCCCATAACTATAAAAGGGTTTTAAACCCACTAATGGCCAGCAAAAAGCTATGACATAATGTATTTTTGTCTTACAAAGCTTTAAACACGAAAAAAAAGTGTCTCATAAAAGTATAAAAGATGAAGCAAAATAAAACCTGTTGAAGCCTTTCTTATTTAAATTTCCACTAAAACATAGATATGCCATGTTTGTATGTCTGTATGTATGTAAACACAGGTTTCTTTTTGTTTGCCTGCTTTGGGAATTGCGGCACAGATAAGCGAATTAATGAGTTTCGTGTCGAAATAGACGAGGAATCAATGGGGATCTCTGACATCTGATTAAGTGACTGATTCACGTGATTCACATTCGCATTAAGTCTGGGAACTGTCAACCAGAAAGAGAATTTCAAATAATTTTGAATTCTAATATTTATATATAAGACTACATAGCCAGTTTTCCAAAAATAGTCAAATTGATACTTAAAATTTACTAATTTCTTTTGTTGAATACCTGGTGACAGACAGTCTCATTAAATAATTTGCATAATCATCGTACAGTGGAACTATTTTATAGTCAACAAATTTCTTTCCAGAACGTCGCTATGTGAATTAGTTTGGCGTGAAAAATACTATTTTTTTAAGTTGCAAGAGTTTTTGATAAACGTGTTACTGATTATTTATTAGTTCAATATTTTTAGAAAGTTAAGATTTGATGCTCGCATTTCTTTATTGTTTATATATTATACCATAAATAATTTATACTCTGGTATTGAAGGTCACTCTGAGCCTGTTTTTTTCGAGTTTATGCAGAAGTATCAAGCAGAGGCTACAGATTTAACGCATAAGTTATTTTGTTCGAGATCATGAATTGAGGCAGTTTATCTAACAGGATGACTCCTGTTGAATTCCGAGTTGAATTCCAGTGGACTGTCTGTTCGTTCGTCCGTCAAGCGCTAACTTTAGTAAAAATTCGGATTTATTGATGAATCTCGGTACGCGTGTTCCTTGGCACCCAAAAATGATCAATATTGCAGATGGGCGGAAACAGACTACTGCCACACCCAAAAATATCATTAATCGAAAACTTCTAAAATCCCATAAGTAAGCTCCAAATCAAGGTACAAAACTGTAATTTGCTACAGCGAATCGCATTACGATGAGAAAGTCTTTATAGGAGCTGGTGTCAAAATTGGACAATGAGCGTAACATCACCCACCAGCTACTCTACCAATTTTAACCAAAGTATTATTATATAATTTTATTTTAACATTTTTATGTTGGACGAAATGGAGCTACAACGACACATTCAATTTTAAATTCTATCTGATTATGTTATTTTACGGTTTATAAATCGAGATCTAATGATCTTATCCAAATAAAGCTAACCACAAATCGTGAATCTTAAGTATGCCATCTCCCTTTTAACGACCCAGTGCCCATGACTGACTTTTTACCGAAAATTTCTAGTATTAAAATTCGGAGGGAATATTTTTATGTTACGAGCTTAATGCCGAATATGTTGATCAGTGTGTGAGTTGTATTCATAAAATTGTTTGGAAATGTGTTCTCCAGTATACTTGAATAATGCCAAAAAACAATGCAATCAGTTCAGACTTTAGATTATGGGACATTTTATTTCACGATATACGGTAATATATCTCGTTATATTTCAAATTGGAAAAGAATGTGGAGCACATTCGCTGTTCGGGTTCAGCTTTTGCCAGATTAAAGTGGTATATTTAAGGCTTCGGTATACTACATAGAAATTAATGATATATGTATGTTGGTCCTTCAAGAAACGATTTAGGTTAAGCATGAGTCAAAAGGCACATCTCATATATATCTCAGTTTTTTTAATCCTGTGTTTATTGGGTGATTGCGTGGCTGATAAATATATTCTATAACCGGTGCGAGAAATTAAAATTAACTGAAAGCTCTAAAGTAAATTGTGTGTGGCGTAATGATTTCCTTTTCCTTCTCTTGCTTTGAGCATATTGAATTTGAAACATATTTAATTATTTTAAAAATATTAGTTAAAAAAATGTCATTAATATTAAAAGCTGTTTCACGGATCTCTGTAAATGTGCTTTTCCGAATAAAATTTAGTTGCAAAAATAAAAAACTATATAACCTCGAAAATTAGGATTCAATAAAATTTTTGAAGAAAAATAACTTTCGAACTCTCTATCGACCCCAAAATTAAAATTATTGGTACATTTTTAAAACAAATATAAAATTGACCGCATAGTAAGTAAATAGTTACAATTTTCAGCAATAATGTATTACGGTGGCCATTTTGAAAGCATATCAGAGAGAAATGCAGTTTTATTCAAGATTTTTAAAATATGGTAATCAAAAAAGAATAAATTTTATAAAATATTAATACGCTTTAAAGAAATATTGTGACGCTAAGGATTAAATTAAATTGCAAATTACTATTCTTGATATTTTACACTTTCATAGTGACAATATCGCATTTTTGCATCTTTTTCAGTATTAACAAATTTTCCAGCGAAGTTTTATTACTAAAAGTTTGAAATTTATAAAGCAGCTATTTAGTTTAGTTTTGCACAGAATTTTTTAAACAAACAGTCTTGTTAAAGGTCTAGTTAGAAGGTTTCAGAAATTATTTTGTAGATATTTGTAATCTAGTGTATTTTTCGGCCTGCACTTATTGTTGAACCACTTTAGCCAACTAAATATAATATTTGTTAGATGTAACTTTGGTGCCACGATTGAAATAAAAATATTTTTGGAAAACATACGCACACGCATACGTATGAACATTTTTACGCCCACCGGTTTGTCAAACCCAAAATATCCAATAAGCAGACCTTACTAAAGTGTTTGTCTTTCTTTTTTTATACACTTCATTTATTAAACAAAAGCTATTAATTACAAATAATGACTATGCGCTTGCTTATACCGCCAACTGCGCGCGCGAAAAAGCGAAAGATGCATGAGCAAATTAGCCGAAGAGAAGATTATGTGTTAAAACAAAATTACAAAAATACAAAAAGAAAAACAATGTGAAAACATAAAACAATACAAAAATTTAAATACGGCAATTAACACGTCGCGTCACTCGGACATGCAACCGGGCGGGCATTTGACCCATAGAGCTAACATAAACCGGTGATTCTTGTAGATGCATGCTTTTATTGCTCCTCTTTGAGTTGTGGTGGATGTGCGCGTATATATTCGAGGGAGCGCAACACATATGCCGGCACGGACGGTGGCGTCGGCAGGTGATCACCGGTTGGATGGAAACCTTCCTCGTCGGCGGTGTAGCTCAAAGAGATGCGCTCACCTTCGGGCGATACGTAATTCAGTGAGCCGCGCACACCGGCCAAACTGCCGGCCTCCTGACGTTGAATGCCATTGCTGGTCTCATAAGAGAACTGGTAGTTGCCTTCGGCATCGGATGCGTCACTTTGAAAGCTGCGTATTTCGGCATTTTTGTCAATGTTGTCGGCACAGACGAAGGTCAACGAGCAGAGCGCAATGCAGATGAGCTGGAAGTGAAAGATTACACAAAACCAATAAACAAGAAACAAAAAACACAAAACAGTGGAGACATTAAACTGGAATTGAGGCATAATGCAATATTTAATGAAGTCGATTTACAAATTCAATGTTTTGATGAATGAATGAAACAATAAATGCCTGATATTAATATACACATCTTAATAACCTACTTTTTGTTTGCGCGATTTATTGACATACTTACATGTTTAAGCATTTTGAGTTTGGTTGTGGTTACTTTGATTTGTGTTTAAGAAGACGCAGCAGGACTCGTTGCTTGATATCCAGAAACTGTGCGATGAACCAAAAAATTTCGGTCTTTTTATAGTAAACGCTTATATTTAAAAGGGTTGCTGCTTGCCAAGTAACTAGATATGTGTATGAAACAAGTTCTGTTATGCCTCTTAAAGCGTGAACAAGTCGAAAAAATTATGAAAAAAAAATATTTAAAAAAAAGCAAAAACACAAATCCTTGCCATACTCGTAAAATACGTATTTACAAGGCGTTCGCAACTCATATACGCCTGAACAAAAGACTTAAGACACAAAATTCTCAGCTAAGTTTCCATTTGTCTGAAGTATTATATGTATGTGTTGGTGCGTCTAACATTTACCTTAATCATAGCTTTGCTTAACACACATTTAATTAGTTGCACACTTTTAGGCACTCACAATTAATTCAAAGCGTCTATCAAATGTACCTTTGTTGTCTTTTGGCTTTGCTGTATTGTTTTATGCTTTTGCTTTGTTGTTTTTAAAGATTTTTTTTGTGACTTTAGTTGCTAGTCAAAAGTAATCGACGCGGCGTTTGAAAACCACGTGCTAGCTTTGCAAGAAAAGCAAATATATTTCGCTCGTGATTCTGTTTATTATACCCAGGGCACCTTTACTGTAGACTAGATTTATTTAAATTTGTAGATTTTCACACTTTTTGATTCAATTATGATTCTATATGGCTATGGATTAGGCTGTCAAAAGTTGAAAACAATTTTTTTTTACTCAAAGTACTTTTTAAGTCTATAAAAACTTTATTGGTAGAATACTGAAGAAAAATATATATTTCCGGAAGCGTTTGGTTCAATCAGCATCAGCAGCTAAAACTCTAAAACCGATTTTTTTATTATTGCCACTTTTCTCATACACAATCTACCGCTAATTTTTGGGCCGTCATTTTGATTTAAGTGTCATAAATTGATGTAAAGCTAACCACGTAAGTATCGTACATCGTATGTAGTTTAAGTCCAATTTTTTTTAACTTCCCGCTAAGAAAATGGAAAATTTTCTAAAAATCGGGAAGATATTGGTTTCACCCCATTTTGCAAAAATCGAGTTCTCAACAGATCTCGACGTTTTGAGGGTCGAGGAAGCTTCCCCGAACATTTCTACGATGATGTCCGTATGTCTGTATGTATGTGTGTGTGTGTGGATGTATGTGACCCTCTTATAACTATTAAACTGCTCAACCGATTTGAATAAACTAAACGGCATTCCAAAGGGTTTCATTGCACTTGAATTTCGTGTAAGTTTGGACCCAATCGGACCAGTAGATTTCGAGAAATCTCAAAAATAAAAATTTTGAAAAATCGTTTTTTTCGAATTTTTTCCAAACGACTTGACCGATCGACACCAAAAACTAATCAGTTCTAAGCCTTGAAGAAACACATCGTTTGCCGCAAACCGGGTCGAAATCGGTTGATTTACTTGCTAGATATCGAAAACGAAAAATTTCGAAGAGCTCAAAAGCAGTGAAAAAAGCGAAATTTGAACGTTAGCGTATGAAATTAGAGGGAAGTTGCAGGGATAGCCCTTGAGGCCAACCGTTTTCCACATTTTTTTTTACCGAAAGCGGGAGTTCCTACAATCGTCGTCGCCTCGACGATTATCTCTTAATAATAGTGATTCCGAAGATTAGCCCATATTTTTGTAATGCAATATATATAATTTTTAGACATATCTGATTTACCGGTGAAAATTTTGATTTTCATATACTCATATATCATGTATATGTACGCAATGAAGACAATAAAGTGGAGTTTTATATATAATAAACCATAATTATAATAAACTTGACAACAATGGCCTAAAGTTCTCTGTTTTAATTTTTCCTTCTTGAGTCAACATCTATGACAAAACGAGCTGAATTCCGAGTGACTGTCTGTCTGTCCGTCCGTCCGTCTGTTTGTATGTGCAAGCGATAACTTGAGTAAAAATTGAGATATCTTGATGAAACTTAGTACACATGTTCCTTGGCATTCAGGGGGTGTTAGTATTAGAGATGTAGAAATCGGACTATTGCCACGCCAAGAAAACGCCATTAAACGAAAACTTGTAAACTGTCAGAACTAAGCTCGATAATAATGTATAAGACTGTTATTTGGTACAACTAATTGCTTTAAGGAGGGGCATTTATGGTTAAAAAAAATGTTAATAGGTGAGTGAGGCCCCGTCCTCCAATAAGTATAATGTACATATCTTCCAAACCACTAAAGCTATAAAAACAAATTTGTTCAGGACAAGTACTTTTAACATCCCTACCTATTCTATAAAAATGGATGTATTCGGATTACAACCCCGCTCACTCCTCATATAACGGTTTTGTTGAAAACTATTAAAAGTGCGATAAATCTATAAATAAATGCAAGAGACGTTAAATTTTACTCTTGAGAAGATGCGAGAAAGCTTTATAGGAACCGGTGCGTTAAAACGATGGGCGTGGCACACCTACTTTCCATATAACACCATTATAAATTCCATTTGCTTATTTCATTTTTCAGTGTACAAATTTAGAACCAATTAAAGTATCCCGATAAAACATTGCCCGAATAGTGCATTCAAGGTATGCCACCTAACGACCCAAAATTTTCCAAACCGGTTCAAAATTATTCAAGCCCCCAGATACTGAATAAGTTGGATTTAATGCCTATTGTGAACTTTTTACCGGAAATATCGGTCAACGTGTTAGATATTTTATATTAAAGAAATTCGTAGTGAATTCTTTTCTGATATGATATGAGTATGTATATGATTATGAAAACGAAATATGAAATGTATAGTATATGAATTGCATCAATAATTCATTTAGTCCTCATATACCTAATAGAAAGATTTTTGAACTTCCGGCTGACTTTATACCGCATCTATCGGCAAATATGTGCGTTATCTTAATAAAATTGTGAGAGCGTGTTTTTTAATGACGATGCTACTTTTTACCAAAAAAAAGGATTAACTCGGGTGTAAACTCGCCCTAGACCTCATTTACCTAATATCAGGATTTTCAAACATCTAGTTGATTTTATTCCTTAACGTATAATATATATTGGTGATGGTATGTGATGTACATTAATGAAACTCAGAGAGTGTCTTTTTCTGTTAGTAGTATGTGGTATTGCCAAAAATAGATGAAATCGGTTCAAAATTAGCCCTTTCTAATATACCTAATATAAGATTTTAAAACTTCCGGTTGGCTTTATACCGTATACATATGTATATATTAAATTATAAAAATTCAGTGAACCTATAGTGTTGGATGTACTATAGTTTAATGCCAAAAATATTAGTAGTAGTAGTAGTAGTAGTAAAAAGAACTCCATTATTTTTGCATGAAATTGAATGCTTTAATTATTACTTTTCGTATCCAGCCTTGTTTATATGGTTCCAAACGGTTTTTTGTGCAATGTTTAGGTCCTGGACAATCGTAATCGATGTTTGGACTCGGTGATTTCCATTATTTTATCGATTTTCTCGATAGTTGGTCCTCCAGAGTTATATTATCAGGACCATAAACTCTATTCATATTTTTAGCCGCCTAGCTTGCGTTTTCACCCTTATCGAAGACAAACTATAAAATATAGCTTCTTCTTTTCGCTTTGCTAGTTTCCGCCTTTGACGTACGCTTAAGCAAAAAGCAACCAATCACAAAACTATCAGAAAATTGTTTTCTTAGCACGAAATGTCAACTTTCTAACGCCATCTAGCCGAACCCGATCGGACTTATACAACGAGAAATACAAACAAATAACGCCATCTATTGGAAAAATAATGTATTTCTTTTTACTACACCTAATATGTGACATTGGTTCACAAATTACACAAACTTTCATATACTATATATTATATAATGATTTTCGTTATTCTAACAAACCTTATGTCGAATATGTCAGTCAGTGTGTGAGTTATTTATTTATAAATTGCGTCAAAATATGTTCTTGAGTATACCTGAGTAATATCAAAAGTTTGTGCAATCAGACCAGAGCTTTTCTGCCCCCTACATAGTGATTGCCGACTTCCCACTCTGTCTTTAAACCGTTTAAGTTGGTCAAAATGTGTGATATTTTAGTGAAATTAAGTGGACTAGTTTTATTAAAAATTATGTAACGTAACGCTTAATATGAATAGAATTGGTTGAGATCTTGGTCCAAACCTCATATCCCATATGTAATAAGTTCCGATGATTTGGTTGACGTTTTGCACCTCAATATATTACATTTAGCCTCTTCGATTGAGTTTAAATCAGATATGCCAATCGATTTACGATTTCGTTGAATAAAGAATTTTGAATTCTTTCGCAACATTTGAAAATAAAGCTTTGCCAACACCTAAAGGTATTTTCCTTGCTTGGATGCTTGCAAGTTGCAAGAGTTTGAAATGTTTAGTTACACTCGAACTTATCTATTCCTTACCTGTTTCTGACTATAATCATACAAGTATTTATCACAGCTGAGTTCTTCCTTGTTGAATTATGAGCCTCTCGGTTGTTTTTTTGTCTGTCATTAGCTTAACTGGCCCTATAGTAATTTTTTAGTACAGGATGTGTAAATTTGCAAAATCATCGTAAGGAGAGTTTTTCTAGCGCTAACTATTACCCATATTTTGCCAACGCATCTCTTAATTTTGAGTTGATACAATTATTTTCCTATATAGAACATGAAAAGTCACTACATTTTATTTCTGAAATTATTATATTTAATCATACTTACTTAAATTAAGTGTATTAATATTATGAGCCGTTCTGACATCAAAGAAACAAACACTTTTGCAACATGATATGAGTATATAATGTTTTACCTCTTCTAATTTTGTTGTTGAGCTTTTAATCGCACATTAATTGTGTTATCCGATAAATAGAGCTTTACCACTTTCATTTAATTGTCAAAGAGATAGTACTAACTTTAAACAGAACCCAAAACTCAGATAATTTATTGTATAAATAAATGGTCATATGACCATTAGTGTGTGTTTGACAGCTGTCTTTACGCCGCGATCGAATTGTCTAGCGATTTTTACCATTATAAAAATTGAACAACGAGTTTACTTGAAATTTTGTGTTTACAACGAAATCACGTATACGAAATCGTTGAAATTGTTGTGGAT